TTGATTTTTAAGGAGCGGGCACTGGAGAGAGCTCTTGGGCTGGAGCCCTTCCTGGGCAGAACTGGGGATCAGGAGCCCTTCTTGGGCTTAATGAGAAATCAGGAGCCCTTCCTGGGCTTAACGGGGAATCAGGAGCCCTTCCTGGGCTTAACGGGGAATCAGGAGCCCTTCCTGGGCTTAACGGGGAATCAGGAGCCCTTCCTGGGCTTAACGGGGAATCAGGAGCCCTTCCTGGGCTTAACGGGGAATCAGGAGCCCTTCCTGGGCTTAACGGGGAATCAGGAGCCCTTCCTGGGCCGAACTGGGGATCCGGAGCCCTTCCTGGGCCACACTCGGGATCAGGAGCCCTCCCTGGGCTTAACGGGAAATCAGGAGCCCTCCGTGGGCTTAACTCGGGCCCTTCCTGGGCTGAACTGGGGATCAGGAGCCCTCCGTGGGCCACACTCGGGAACAGGAGCCCTTCCTGGGCTGAACTGGGGATCAGAGTAGCGCTGACGTGGTGCTGGCACTGGAAGGTGCTCTGGAGGAGCTGGCACAGCAAAGCGCTTTCGAGGAGCTGGCACTGGAGTGAGTGTTGGGACTGGAGCAGACACTGGAGTGAGCTCTGGAAGGCGCTTACGAGGAGCAGGCACTGGGGCTGGAACCGACACTGGGGCCTCATGAACGTATGGAGGGCTTGCCATATTGATGTTCAATGGGCTTGCCATCTTAATGTTCAATGGGCGTGCCATATTATTGTCCGGTGGGCTTGCCACATTAACGTCTGGGGGACTTGCCACATTAACGTCCGGCGGGCTTGCCTGAGGAACGGCCGGCTTACTTGACTCGGGAACGGCATGATGTGAAACTATAAATAATGTGTTTATTTTATTTATTTATTTTTGGTCTCTGTGACTTTAAAGGGGTCATGAACTGAGAAATCAAAAGTCCCTTGATCTTTTGACATATAACAGGTCATTGTACTATAAAAACATCCTGTAAGTTTCAGAACTCAAAACTTTCTTTTCTTTTCGTCTAAAAACAGCTTATATTGAAGCCACACTAGACTTTAAAGGCAGAGTAAGTGATTTCTGGTAGCCAATGTTGATATTTGAAATCACCAAAACAAACACGCCCCTACCCCA